CTGCCAGAATAGTCGTGATGGAAATGACATAATCTTTGACATATAATTACGTAACAATCGGTGTAAAAGGTGGAAATATTCCGTACCATTTGCGTTTGATTAACAATCAAAATTCTGAAGTTCTTTGTGGAAGACTCTTCGTATCGTAATTGGCTATAATTTAAATTAATCATAAATAAAGAGTTGAACAAATTCATGTCATCGCTATTTTTGTATATTCTTTCTTCGTTTCTCTTCTTTTTGTTCATTTGCAATACGATGTAGTCAAAAGGGTTAAATTTTAATAAACACAAACTTCTGTATCTGTTCACCTCAGTATGAGTAATTAATCAGTGTTGTAAACATATTATTTGTAGAATATTTAAAACTACATTTAACACATATTTGGAATAGAGTTATATCAAACTAAAAAAATTAAAACAAGAAATGGTTATTTTGACTAAACAATCAGGATGACAGGGTTAAAATAGAAGAGGTTACGAAGGATTACGTAGTGAGACAAAAGAAGTGTAATCAACGATAATAATTCTGGTGAATTTAAACTTGGCGTCGATGTAAGTGTCTGTGCTTCGTCGAAACGAACCATGATAACAAGTTTCGCGCGACAAAGGGGACAATAATCGTTGCCGTAATATAAACTGGAAACAATATATCCTGCCTTCGAAATGTGTGTACGGTTGTTTAATGTCTGTGTCTCCGTTAAATAAGTGGAAATTATTCCATTGAAAGTGAAAATACGGAATACTACGTACAAGGGATTAACGTAAACAATGGTGAGTTAGTTTTAATATCATCGGTGATTAATATTAAAGTTTCTAATTCAACTCCAATTTTCAACAAAGATCAATGTAATCATTTTCCTTTGTATTAATCCTTTCCATAATAAACGCAACAACTCGGTTCAAGCTTTACTCGTAGCAATACAAACAGAATGAACGGAATAAGTAAATAAATAGAATTATAAAAATTATTTTTATGGAAGAAAGGATTTTAATATTCAGAAACTATATCACGAGTGTCTTGAGTTGGTAGTCGGTCGTATTAAAAAACAATTTTTGGTAGTTAAAGGATTTTGAATTTTCAGAACATTCCTTTGAATGTTCAGAATATGTATCGCAAAGGTCCTTGAACTGCTATATTAAAAGAATTTCAGGTCACAAAAGGGTTAAAAGTTCCAGGGTTTCTCTACTCGATGTTACATGGTTTTGTTTCAACTTCAAATGTTAATTTTCATAATTTATCGAGTTTAATATCGTATCAATGTACTTGAAACTTCGTTCATTAGCGAATAATCGATTAACGCTTCTGTTTCTTAATTATTCCGTGTAATATAAGTTCTTCCTTTTATGAAAAATACCGTATTCAACCGAAACACCGTTTCAACCTTCGGATGCATTAATTTTTTGTTTACCTTTCAAAACGGAGATTATTCCATAGTTATTTACATATTCATAAAGCAATTAACGTCAGAGTTAAACGACAAATGACTGTGTCCATACAGCTACATAATATTGCAAGCCTTCGAATTGTGGTGTGCTACACTTTGCACATTACATTCCATGCATTTCAATCATCTGGTTCTTGAATTTCATTTTAGTCTTTAAAAAATATTGTTTCTTAGTTATTTATATATCCATATAGGAATCATTAGCAGAATTGTACTATAAATGGTTGTATCAACATATTTATTAAATATTCCTATATGAGAGCACTATGCAGAAATTCTATAAAGTTGGTTTCAAATTCCTTTAAATGTTACACTTTGCACATTGCATCTCAAATACTTCAACCATCTGGTGGATGAATTTTATTTTACCCACCAACAAAGAAATCACTTGTTAGTTATTTATATATTCATACAGCAATTCATACGCCAATGTGATAGTTAAACGATGAATTTATAGAACTATTAAATATTACCGTATGAAAACATTATGTGCAAATCCTGTACAATTTCTCTAGTCTGCTAAGGATTAACATCTCGTTTCCGTGTAGCTGGAACATTTTTCCAGCCACACCCCAGCCTCGATCTCAAAGATAATATTTATTCCGTTAAAAAAAGGGTCGTTTCCAGGCCAGTATTTCGGATAATAAACTAGGAGGAACAGAAAGAATAAAAGGTACGAGCGAAGCTGTGTTCCGTACTCGGAAAGAGGGCCCCGTTTATTTAAATTTTCGCGGTAGTAGTGTCGTTCAAAGCAAAGAAGTCGTGTGTTTATTGTTCCTCGATCGTTTCTCTTCTGTTGACGCACCTCGGAGATCACCGACGTGTCTAAACGTTTCTGCACCCCCAGAAAAGAATAGGAATTCCCCATAAGGAACGTGTGAACTTATCAGCGAAGCGCAAAATATTTATTGACTCGTTTTAAGCAAAAGTTCATCCAAATATAAACTAGATTGAATTGCTTTGATCCTTGTAATAAATTGATAAAGTAGATTATATTAACTGAAGTACGCAAGACATTCTACAGGGTGTCCGAAAAGTCGGGGAGGAGCCGGAAATTGGGGGTAGCTGAGACGATTCCGAACAACAATTTCCTTTGCAAAAATGTCGGATGGGGCTTCGTTAAGGAGATATTAAGCGAAAACCCCGACCAATCAGAGCGCGCGTAGACCGTTGGAGCGGCCGCGGTAGCGAAGGCTACGCGCTGAGCGGCCGCGTCAATATCCTTCTATGCACGTCGAGTCACTTTTCGCGTACGAGAGCGGCTACCTAGCGCGTAGCCATCGCTGTCGCGGCCGCTCCATCGGTATCCGCGCGCTCTGATTGGTCAGTGTTTTCCGTTAATATCTCCTCAACGAAGCCCCGTCCGACATTTTTGCAAAGGAAATTGTTGTTCAGAATCGTCTCAGCTACCCCCCATTTCCGGCTCCTCCCCGACTTTTGGGACACCCTGTATAATTCTTTTAGTGAGTCTTTTGTGGTTTCTTGAATAGACGCAAGAACTATAACGTTGATTTGATTTCTGCAAAACTGTTGAGCTATTAATTCAACTTGAACAAATTTTCGATTCCTGTTTGAGTGGAAAGCAGTCAAAGTAATTAAAAGAAAGTGATTATCAACGAGTTGAGCAATCATCGTCTTCCTTGAATATGTACAGTATTGCCTCGAAATAAGCAACTCGGTCGGGACCGGCGGGTTGCTTATTTCGAGACAATACTGTATACACATTTAACCTATTTTATTCTCTCTAAATCATTGCTGAAATGTAAACATAATAAAATTAGAATACAAACGTGTAACATTTGGAAACGATAAAATAGAAAAGTATGCATATCCATGTGATAGATATTTCTGTACTTTAAGCCTGAGGAAGTCTATAGATGTCTATAGTTGGAAACTACTATAGTTGTTCGAATTTTTATTGCTCTTAACGGCGTCTGTTTATAACAACTTATTTTCTGTTCACTTAACTTAATTCTATTCGATGTAATTTTTGTTCATCTAGCGCTTGTTCTTTCACGATTCTTGCCATATCACAGCCCTGTTTATCTTCGACCCATTTTGATCGGTGTGAACGCGGCTTTAGCAGCCAAAGAAAAAGTCGTGCTTAATCCACGGAGATCTTTTGTCCGGAATGTGGCCTTTTCGCCGTTCGTTTACGACCTAGACAGTAAAAACCTGAAAGAGCGTTTCTACCCCCATGAGTCACTTCGTACGTGGTAATTCCATGTGGTGAATAGGGGGAGGGATTGGAGAAATTGAGTAAGAGACCAAGAGAAAACCAAGCAGTTTTTATTCTATCGATTTGTCACGTCGTTTAAAATAATTGGAAGGAACGAGTCGCTAGAGAGCAGTTTCGAACAGGACTTTTCCGATCGAACCTATGTATGTTTGACATTCTTTGTTCCCAATTTACTAGACTCTTTAACTCATTCGGAATGGAACTTCATTTGGACAACAGAACTGTTTTTTGCAATATTTACGATGTGAATTTTAATAATTATAGTATTATTAGCAGTATCCAATGAAGCTACATTTAATTACATTTCTATTGTACACATTTCTATTATAAAGTTAATTGTTATTTATTAAAATTCCGTTACCACGTTATGCTAAAACTCAACAATATTTATTGAATTATTTTTGGGTGAAAGTTCATCTAAACGTAAATTAACCTGGTATATCATGAGTGGTCCAATTTAGACAAACTTTCCCTACAATTGTACTGCTTTTAATATTAAACATTGCATGCACAATGGAAAAATGAGACAATAAGTCTGACTATTAATCCCCTTAAAGGGACACAACACTGTCAATGATCCAAAAAGAGAGGTATTTTTAAAAATTGCTCTTAAACTGTTATTATCTTTTACTAAACATTTAAACAGGTTTCATTTGAAATCATTTTTGTTTTAAACAATTTTTTAGACGGTATATTTGAAATTAAAAATCTTTCCTTTTTAAATAAAAATTCTATGGCTATATTCTGAACTTCTGAACTTTACGAAAAAGTGTTATTTATTTATTGAAAAAAAAAAACAGATAAAAATCAATCTAAAAAGAAACGACTATAAGCCATAGAGACTAATTTTTTTTTTCTATTAAGAAAATGTGATTACAGATCGTATCGATCAGACGCATAGTTTTCTCAGAAATCTAACTTTCATTTATATTATTGTGTTGATGTATACCAACTACATGTGTTGCTCTAGATACCTAGAAATCCTTTTCAATCAACTTCGAAAAAGAGGAGTTTACTCAATTCGACATGAATATATATATATATATTTCTTCATACAAAATTCACAAGAATTTAATATTTTTAATATACATGCCATATTGAATCCGCCATTTTGAATTTTATAACTTGCGACCCAAATAACTCAAAAACACTAAGTTTCGTGAAAATCCGAAGACTCTGTAATTTTGGTCGCATTTTTTGCCATCCGGTCCACCGTGATGTCGTGTCCTTTCAATTTCATTCTTATCAAACCGACCCAGCTAGCCAACTTCTCATTTCTACATACATAGTAGCTATCACGTTATTCAAATGCAGTATAGAATATTTTTCTAACGAATTAAAATATGCTTTTTCTCATGGACAGAGGGTGCCGGGTGGTGGCGGCGTGATTGTGGGGGGTGGCAGTAGTTCGGCCACCCCCCAAGGTGCACAACAAGCCAGCAACCTGGTGTACCGCGTCGTGAGCTCGAGACATCCTGGTGGCGGCCATCATCCTCATGTGAAGAAGTCGGACAGCTCCCAACAGACGGATAACTCGGCGTTCAAGCACCAGCAGCACCAGCAACAACAGCAACAGCAACAGCAACAGCAGCAGCAGGGCTCGAACAGTTCCACTAACACCAGCTCAAACAGTCAGCAATGGAAAAAGTACATCGAGGCTGGAGCTGCGAGGGATCGGGAGAGAGACAAGGATGGTGCACCCCCGAGTCCTAGTCCCTCCAGGCGATCCCAGGTAAACATTTATATAGTTTCGTCCCTTCTCGAGTCGTCGCTATGCCGGACAATATTGATCTTCCTGATGGGCGATTTAGCTCGTTTAACGTAGCCTTTGAATTTTATTTTTATCTCAAGGGGTTGTGTTGTACATAGTTACTAGCAGAAGCGCCCACCCTATATATATATTATGTATTCTATCTGTATTTAAATTATTCAAAAGTTAGAATTACCAATTCTAATTCGCTTGAAAATGAACCTTCATTCGTGTACTGTTTAGTAAACAGTAGAGTATCTGTGATTTCTTTTACTGTTTCTCTGATGTACTGGTGAACGAAACGAAATATCTTTTTAGTAATAATTTATTTATAAGAATTTGCACAAGACAACGTTTATTCAACTTCAAATTGGAGACAGTTTGAAAACAAGTTGTACAATTTGAGTAAAAATATGTATGTCAGTAAGTTTGCCGTAAGGAAAATAGTTACAAACTCTTTATTTTGTAATTATGATAGTAAAACATCTGATTCTCTTGAACAAATTTGTGAAAATTATACATGCTACAATAATGAAAGTTATATGCCCATTTACAAACCATGAATTTGTCTTATCCCTGTATTGTATTATAGTTGAGCAATTTCTTAATACGACTAGGACCGCAAGGATTATATAGTAATTAGAAACATGTTTAAATAAATGCTTGGAAGAACATCGTGTAATAATTATCTTGCTCCATTGGATTCATATTTATTTCTTTATTCATGTATTCAACTATTGCAGTGTCATTTCCTTCGTTTGTGCAATTTTTAGATATAGGTGAAAACAAGCGATCATAGTTTTAAAACGTGTATCTTTGGATTTTGTTCAGGATAAACATCGGAAGCAGGCCATGGCCGAATATGCGAACGGTGAAAAACCTCAGAAAGTTTCATCAGGCACGTCGACCAGTGGTAGCAGCAAAGTAAGGGGAGTCCCGCAGAGTTTTGGATACGTGAAGAGACACAGCGCTGGTACCAGTCCTAGCCCTAACGGAGTCCAAAATGGTGGCAAAGATGCTACGAGAACAGCTCAAGTTAGCGCAGTTCCAAGAACAAAAGTACGCAGACCCTCAACTCAATTTCATTGTATAAATAATCCTTTTCTTTCTACATTATTTAATCAAAATAATCAGTTTCAAATTTATTATGTAGTTGAGTGAAAATTTGAAACGTCATGTTTTTCTTTCGAAAATGAATAATGACAAAAATATTTCCAAAAAATGTTAGTTTATCTTTGGTAATATTAAAGATCCTCATGCTTGATTAACCGTGACTTTGATGTTTTGGAGATAGTTAGTATATACTTTCTCAAAGGTTCTCATGTTTAAAAAAAAATATAAGCTGTGAACTAAACAGTAAAAAACCTCGAGGTTTCATCCCATACGTTTTAAGCCCTCTTCAGGGTTACTTAATGAGTTATAGGACCTTGTCCAACAATACACAAAATTTCTCTACAATAAATCGTATCGGAATAATTGCCATTCCTTGCAACGAGTATAATTTGTTACTATTTAGCCTTTTGACATAATATGAAAGATACTCTTTAAAAAGGCACAATTATTCATTTCTTCTACACTGTGGTTGATAATTAGACAAAACCGTAATACCAAGCTAAAGAAAAAAATTTTTGTTTTCTTCAATTTGTTGTTCCAGGTTAAAGTGTCCGGTGGTACGCAAACATGCACCACGGAACTCCAGGCCAATTCTGCCAATTCGAGTCAAGGACATCATTACAAGAGTTACAGCCTCACGGGTCCGAGTGCCAGTCAACTTTCGCAATCGGTACGAGACCGGCTAATGTTGGGATCCCAGAGCCTCCCAAAGCCTGGTAGCCCAGAATTCACAGCACTATTTGCATCTGCTCATCATCGAGACAGAGGACCAGGCGCTGGACCAACCAGCAACTCCTTCTCCCCGCGAGTACTCAAACCATCTGATGGAAGTCTCAGTGACACGTGCAGCAACTATGCAGCGCCTGATCTTCAAGGATATTACACTCCCAACAGCCCCTACACTACATCCTGGATGAGACACAGCAATACCTATACACCCAGTGGACGTTCTCAAGGTACACTTCTTGGCACTTCAAATTCGTTTCGAATTGATGTTAGGGAAACATATTCACCGCAGTAATGATGACGAAGAAACAGAAGTATAGAGTGATGAAGAAATCTATTGGTACAAGTAAGATTTTGTCACCAAATTACGCGTGGGTTAGAAGAAAATTGTAGGGTCTGCAACTTACTGTTTAACATATGTTAAACTATTCCATAATAAAAGGGATAGTAAAACATAGGTAAATAACCATTTTCATCTCAACAAAGTTATGAATGTAAATACAAATTAAAATTCTATAGAATGGTTGCTTTATATCTACGTATCTGTATCTTACTCTGTCACATCTGTATATTAATATGTTTAATATAAGAACAGGATTAGAGAATAGGCTTTTTAAATCTTTTTAAGTTTAAGCAAGTTGTTCCTGATATTCTTCAAAGGATATCAAATTATACTTAATTAAATAATCCGGAAAATAGCATAAGTCTGGTACTCGCAAAATAACAGCGAACCTGAAATTTATTCAAAACTGTAATAATTATATGTATCACTTGTACAGTTATATCGGTGTCGGATATCTCCGGTGATCATACACACAGGTCGTCTCGGGGATGCCTGATATATCCGGCGATAGTAGCGAAAGGGTTAAACAAAAAATTAAACCTTCCTCCGTAGGGATGAGCGTAGTGTTTATCGTGTTGATCTTATAAACCGTCTCTTCTATTTATTCAATGAAATGTTTATTAAATTCTTGTAATTCCAGGAATGGGTTTATGCGAAGCTGACAGTGTAGAGTCGCTTGGTTCGCATCGAGCAAGCTTAACTCACGCACGTTTGTTGATGCATCAGAGGGATTCCACGGGATCACCAGCACCTCCACGACTCAACAGAAGCAACTCCATTAGGTAAGCCCGTTACACAAATTCGTTTCTTGCACTAGTTTTCACAACCTCATACGAGATCCTTAGAAGTCATTTGCATACGTCTATATGTATAGATGCATGACTAGAGGATGCAAATGTCTCATCATATTTTTTCAATCGATCAGTTCCAGCTTTTTTCTGATTCTTTATAATTAACCACTCAATGCCAGCGATTGCTCGTTTACTGTGAAATAACGCAGATCATTTGATACCGTTTTAGCCATCTGCGGGACAGGACATTCCCAAGGTAGTGAGAAAGTCTAGAATACACATTCGTCGAGCCTGTTTTCAATGCATAAGTATTAAACGAACAATACCATCTAGGGTGGTATACACCCTACCCTGTACACACGAGTGGCCGTTACACGCACTTGAAACACAAATATCCCTGTGTATCTATATCTCTCGAATTCTATCTGTTGACTAAATAGCAATTTAGCTCTCAGTAATTGAAATTACTTCGATATTCCTTAGCAATTTGTATTTCTCATTATTCTATGCTTTTTGTGCAAACGCATGTTAATGCTTCTTTACCAAACGTTACGCAACGAATGGAGATGTATCGGTCATACGTAATCTTTCAATAATTCATTGTGCATCTTGCTCGCCTTAGAAAAGTTACCTGGAGGATGAGACATACATACGTCTATGCGAGCTTAACAAAATATATTTTAAATGTCACTACTTTGTCTCATTTTCTGAACAATTGCTTGGGTTTAAGCTTCAAACAGGAGACAGTTTGTAAACAATTTCTTCAACTTGAATACAAATTTATATGTAATTAAGTTACATACAACTATTACCAACACTTATTATATACAACTTTAACTTTACATATTATGAATTTCTTAATAGTAATACAACTAATTTGTAAAATTTTATATTCAGTGATTTATATATAAGTATATTTGATGTCTTATATAAGTTTTCTTGCATCTTTTTTTTTATCATTAAGTAATTCTCCACATAGAGTAGCTATTTTATGTATAATTTATCAAGCTCGTGAAGACTGCAGTATGTTTCATCGTTGATGCAATCCTTGAGTTCCATTTTTTAAATAAAATCAGAATTATGTAATATCGCTTTTGACATAGTCGTTTATAGCTTATATTTTTTTTTTCTCTTCATGGAAGTACACTTGCGAATCGTTCATTCGACTTTTTTCCCCTTCGCTGTCTTATTATACAAGGTGTTCCGTATAAAGTGTTGCAAGCTGTTTTCTTAGAAATTAACAAAAATATCGAGTTCATTTTTACTGTCCATTTTTTAAAACGTATAGTTATGTTTGCTTCTTGCCTATTCACTGTCGTTAAATCTTACGTGGCGAATCACACTATGCTTATTACGTTTTAGTAATGGTTCTTATTATTACTTTTGGAAGTGATCTATAATTGGAATTATTAAGGGGTGACTATTCAAAAGAAAAGGAGGGGTCGTTAAAGTTTTTTTTAAATAGAAGATAGTATCAATTAATGGATTAAAAGTATGCGTAGTTACATAGTTATGGCGATAAATGTGTGGTGAGGGGAAAATTCAAAGAAGCAAAAGAGATGTGGAGAAAACGAAAACTATTCACATTCTCGTACATTTCCCCATATTTCGACTTGCCATAAATGCATAAGCATGTGCAGTCTAGCATAATGAAAATAAGTATGCGTAATGATAAAAAGTCACCTTTCATTTATACAAATTTATGGAGCTTCGCTATTTTCTCTACAGTTACTCCAAAAGGATTTACTGCACTAATAGATAAAGCATTCCTGTGCCATTCGTCTGTAAAAATGAAGTCGAGATCTTCATTAGTTTCTGAAGAAACAGCTTGTAACACTTTATGCGAGACATCTTGTAGAGCTGTACGAGTGTATACACGATCGTGAAGTGGTACTCGACTTTCAGACGGAAAGGAATTTATCTTTTAATTAGGAGCCTCTTCCAGATCGACTAATTACTAATACACTCGCCAAGTAGATAGACGTGTTCTCGTCGTTGTCCTAAACAAACTGAACGCTAGGATGCGAAGCAACACTTGTCCGAGTCATTCGTCTAGAATTTCTCCATGAACTGAATCTAACGAACCTCGCGATACGAAAATCACGCCAATTTCTTCGCATCTGAAGACTTCTGTTTCGAGGAGACGTACACTCGCATGATTTTATTCAGGAATATCTCTTGAGAGGGTACTCTGGTCTAGCATTATGGACAAGTTGATTTCTCGCGTTGTCTCTCGTAGTGTAAGGTTTGAGGAATATGCTCTTAGAAGATTGTATTGAAATTTTTAAAAATAGTGTAGCTATTAAAATTTTGTTGAAATTAAAGCTGTAACATGAAGAACTTAATATGTCGATTGCCATATATGAGTAAGAAGACTTTTCAATAAGAAACAATATAAATTAATTCTGAAGATAATAATGAAAATAAATTTGGGTAAGATTTGTAAAGTTTTATGACGTTGTAAAAACAGATACTACCACAAATATTTGATTGCAAGTTACAATTGTAAGTTTTAATTACAGATTAATAATTACTCCTATTTAATAATTCAATGCAAATTTAACTAAGCATAGCACTTTCGATGATTTGAATTATCTGATCGATTCTTGTTTTCCTGAATGCAGTCAAGCGCGGCAAGCTACAACAAATGTACGATTACTGTGCTTTCTATCGTTTCGGAGCCAAGTACTTGGATAATTTGCGTACAGAAAACTTTCTTGAAATTTCGACAATGTTTTGTGAATTATTGGACGCCTCCTCCGTTCTTGAACGTTCGACGTTAGTCATCTTCTATTGATGCACGTTCCGCGCTTCTTATTCTTCGAAGATACAAACAGTTCCGTCAACGATCATTCTAATGCGTAGAATATGAACTGACCATAACAATGAATATGCACGGGAACTTGAGATTCAGTCGGGGAACTCTTTGTTGATCTTCGAAGGTGTTTACGATAAAGTATCTCAATATTCTCTACCCGTGATTTAGATGGTTGTATCTTTGTTTTCCCAGGTCCACGAAAAGCGAAAAAATGTACCCGTCGATGTTGGCCAGAGGAAGTGGAGCTTCGTCCTCTGTTGGCGAGGAAGTCGGAATAGGAATGGGTGTTGGGGTTGAACCTTATTACAGTGTTCCTGTAGGATCCACCGGATGCGCGGGACAGCATTGGTCTCAACCAACGTCTCCAACACCTACGCACACCTCACGACAACCACCCAATCTTTACCAACACGTGCACAAGGATGACGACAGTAAGTGCACATTCTGGTGTTTTACTAACAAACGTAGTCAAAGGGATGGACAGCTCTTTGCTTAGATACAAACAATTCAATTCCGAATGTTTCAAATAGATGAACAGCTCGAAGAGCTCTTTGCTCTATCTATGGCGCATACAAACAACTGAAATAGAGTTGGGAAATGGATTAGTCACTGTGCTGAATAAATAAATTAAATTAATTCTTATTTTAAATGAAAAGACGCTATATTCTTGTTCACTTTTTTCTTTCATTTCTGCAAATTCAACTGAAATCAAAGGGATGGACAATTCATCGTTGGATACAAACAACGCAATTCTAATTGTTTCAAATAGAAAGATAGTTTTCTAATATACAATAAATTTTCAATCGATTCAGATAGATGAACAATTTTATGGTATACGTAAACATATGGAAATGAGTTTGGAAAATGGTTCAGACCCAAATAAATAAATTAAATTAATTTTTGTTCTTGTAAATGAAGGAACGTCAGAGATTTCGCATTTTTTTTCTGTAAAATCAAATGATCACAAGAAGAGAACGAACAATATACAAACAACTGAATTGAGATGAAAATTGTAATTGCGTTTGAATCTTGAAACATTTAGCAGGCGTATCGATGTAAACTGGTGCTTGCTGATGAAGGATTGCTGTGACTTACCTACAAAACAATGTTGAATTAAAATCAACTACATTATTGATTACTAGCAGAGACGTGCTCAGAAAAACTATCAAACTCAGTACTTCGTGTCGTTTCGAAGAACGAGCAGTTTGTAATCTCGTCGTGTTTTTTTACGGAATAGTTAAGATATATCATTATGTTGTGTCATAGTAGTAATGTTCTTTCCATACGAAAGAGTGCAATAGTTAAGGAGATAAGCATATGTGTTTAAAAAGAAACTTAATTCATACAGACATAAAAGTACAAACTTTCGTAACTACTGATAACTAGTTTTTGTGCCTCCTTACAAATTGCTTGAACCTTTAGCTACACATGAGCACAAATTTTTCTAAATTGTAGCTATCGGGATGAATTTTTGTTTAGAAACTCTTTAAAAACTAACGAACCAACATGCATATCGATTTTACGATCCGACTATTTTTTCAAAAATGCAAAAAGAAATGGTTCAAAATTTGTTTGCTTACACCATTGAATTCAGCGTCAAAAACTACATAAAAGTACAACGTCAAAGATCATTCGTAGAAATTTCTACCATATTATTGAAAAATATCGAAGTTCGAAGTCAGCAGTCAAGGATATACAAATGTTGCCGTAACTTGCTTTACATTTTCTACTTTTTCTTGAAAATAAACGTAAAAAGAGAAGAATTTCCTCTTTTATTGTCCCCAGTTCACGGTTCCTCGGTATCCTTGGTATCGACAGCGAGCAGTCTGTATAGTTCAGCAGAAGAGAAGCAGGCGCACGAACTGAGGAAATTGCGACGGGAGCTCCTAGACGCTCAAGAAAAAGTCCATTCGCTGACTAGCCAGCTATCGACAAACGTGAGTACATGTTATGTCGATTATAGTAGCGATAAGGCCTGTCTGACGTACATTAGAAACTTGCTACCGTTTCTACGGTGCAAATATTACCTATTTCGTAATTTATATATATATATCAGTGCATTAAAATGACGTCATTGGTCGTACACAATTGCTCGAAGCGGATCTATCCGTTCTCAAGTGAGATAGCTCGAGTACATGCCCGTGTTGCACGAAGCGAATTGGTGCAAATGATTAATCATAATTAATCGAACGGAATGACAATTAGTGAAGTTACGAGCTGCTCGTTACAGTGTCCTTTAACGAGCTTGATCTGGCCAAACCTGTTGCAACAATATTCTATGGAACGTTAACGTGTCATCCTTTATATACTGCTAATTTACGTTCGTAATTCCCATTATGATCTCTTGCTTAATTATGGAATTGACTTATGATTCTGTAGTTCCTCTTTATATGTAGAGCGAACCACGCTATATAAAATAATCATTCATATCGAAAAATAATCGTTCTCGTTTTAACATACAGAGGAAAACCGCAGTTTCGCACAAGTTAATCTGCATTTATTTTTTAACTGTTTAAATTTAAGTCGTGTTCAGGATATACAAGATTAAAATATATAAAACAGAATATAATTATTTGGAGGTATTAGGTTGTCCCGAAAGGTTTTTTTTTCGTGAGTTGCATTCAATTATTTTATGTGGTCGTGTTTATATAAATAGACAGTCTAATTACATAGATATTCATGTTGTAACAGTAATGGAGCAAAATGAATCGTGCACAATTCAGTAACGTAACATAAAACATGAAATATTGTGCACGTATTACTTATTAATAAAGCGAAAGAAACTTTTGGGACAACCTAATAGTAACTGAAAAATAGTAGATTAGTAGGTTTCGTCCGAGCACAAAGTATTTGTGTGATCGTAAGAATAATTAATTATTTGTAACAGAAAACACAAAAAAAAAAAAATAGTTAAAAATGAATTTGTTGTAATGGAAAATAATGATTCGCAAAAACAGTGAAAAAGAACATCAATTAAAACTTACCTTCGTGGGATTTCCTTTTGATTTCATCAATATTTTTCCTTTTAAATTATTAGTTATTCGAAGTGGAATCACCTTCAATTCCTCTATTGGAGCCATTTTTAAAAGTACTTTACTGGAAATTTGATGTTTTCTAATTCGTACGGAGCAATAAGTAGACCGCGGATCTTTATGCATTTATAGGAACTTTGAATGTGCAAGAACTTACAAAATGCAAATAACATGCAAGAATGTAAAAAAGATTGAAAGTAAAGTTCATGTTATAACATTTGGAGGATAAAATAAATTCCTATTTAGGTTCAATTTTTATAGGTACGTTTACAAAGATTTTATTTTACATAAAGATCCGCAGTCTAGTCATAAGAATCGTACAAATACTTATTGCTTCTATACTTTTACCCACTTTTCCCATTTTTTTTATTAATTTCCCATATTATGTCAACTAGTAAATGTTGTTTGGACCATGTCTATCTTAGAGACTTCCGAGAACATGTAAAATATCATTGATTATAAAAAAAGAAATTAAGAAACTACGATTTCACACAAAAGTTTGTTAGGAAATTGATCGGTGTACGAATACATTCTACGCCCACTGTAAGTACACGTACAAGTACGTGTCAAGAAGGAAGATTTTTAAAGTAATTTCGAAAGACCCGCGGTCGCCCCAACGACAGCGGAAGCGTCCGTGCAGCTGATAGGTTGTTTAACAAGGAAGATCAGGGGCCGGAGCCAATCAGACGCGACGCGGCCACACTGGCATCTTGGATCGCCGTGGCGTGCATCGGTGTAGTCGGTTTACGTTCAGTTTGTGCCGAGACGCGCTGCTTCGAGTGTCGTGCGTTGTATTCTACCTGGTCGCGAATGCAAAACAAACGGTTCAGTGTGTTCATCAATCGGAGATTTGACGGGACGACACGATTCCGTGTGATAAAGTGCGAAGAAGATTGTTTTACCACGAAGAAATCGATTCGTGACTCGTCGACGTCTACGGGGTCAGTGATCATAGGACGGAATCGATGGCTCGATCGATGAGCCCGAAACGTGATCTTCCGATGCGGCGGACTGGCTGACAGAAAAGTAATTGAAATGGAGTCGTTTGTCTGGTTTGATTTTTACGGATACGAGCGGGTGACTCGATCGCTTTCCGTCGATAACTTATCGTCGTTCAGCGACCTTTCTCTTTGTAAACCGCTTTATCGAGGATTACACGTTACCCTCGTGATACTTCCTAGATTTGTTTACTATTCTATCCTTTATCTGCAACGCAGCAAAATAAATATCGGACGGAGAGAAAACTGCCGACGCGTAAAACGTTCGTAGAATTAACATTTCAAATAATTTCACAGCAGGTTGATTCTATCGGTTTTGATTGATTTTATTTGTTACTCGTTGAATGTCCGCAAGTGCTCCGAAAAGGTTGTCTTGTGCTGTGTATTACAGCAATGTGATAGAATTTTATATTAATTGAATCGCGGGATTAATTAATTTCGATTAGAAATTGAACAAAGTCGGTGCAACTGAAAAAATAAAAATATATCGAATATTTCAGTGAACTACAAATTACTTATACATGAAATCATTTGCATTGGATGCAATGTGATACAATTTAAAACATTCCTTGTTAGTCGCATTTTGAGTTTTACGCGACAACTCGAGTAGTAACTCGGGCGCAACAAATGTTTGGTTATGTTACATTTTCGTTTCCTTCACTTTTTTTTAAATATTTTGTTTCTATTAATTAATATGTTTTAATAATTAATATTGAAGATATTATTTGATTATATATATATTTATATTTATATAGAATATATATATAAATAGAATTATAAATTATTGAATGCAAAGATACAAAATTGACTTCTACACCTAATATTGATATTTGGCTTATTGTTAAAATTAAGTCCACCAACGTTAATTTCAATCTTACATACACGTATCAAGTGCGACGAAATTGTGTGCAAAATAAAAATTTTGTTTATATGGTATTTCTTCGGCCGCACGTGGTATCTAGAACTCATTAGAAACAGTGATCACGTCTAACTATAAGACGACGCGGACGTAGAGTTTACACTACTCTCGTTGCTCGACACGCAGCGACCCCTTTCGACGTCCGTGTTTCGAATACGTTAAAAAAAAACGGCCATTCGTATCACGATTGGTCGAAGAAGAAATAAGAGGAAACATATCGTCGCTGAGCATAAAATTTTTTATATCCGACAGTGTCTCGAATATTGATAAAATTTCTTGCTCGGCTTCGCGATCGGCAGTCATTTCCACCTCTTATTTCGTGTTTCTTCTGCTCGTGCGTATGCCAACTGTATACACAGAACTCGGCTGATCAAACTTGACACTTTTTTTTTTTTTTTATCAACTCGACACTTTTCTAACATTAAGTACAAACAGTAATATTTCTTTTCCGCGTCAATATCAATAGATCTTTTGTTGATAGGTTTTCCATCATTCGTTTCGTCACAAATATTGTCGGTTCGTTTTACGTTTGACCTTAGAGTTATGTAAAAGGCGATTTTTTCAAATTTTAGCGATCTTCGAGGACGTGTACGTAACACATTTATAGTTTTAAATTCTTTGTCCTTCATCGAATGTTTTATATAAAACAGTGTATGGTGCACTTCCAAGAAACCTCATCCAACATATTTGCGACCAATTTACCTGTTCTCCGTTAGTGTTTTTTCTTATCTGTAATATGACACGTAATACACAAAAAAAAAAAAAAAAAAAAAAATTAAGTAACAGGCTACTGATCCTCAACCATCTGCTAAGCCACCTACCTCTGTCAATTGGACTTGCACCACTTTCGTAGTCAACTTCATTTATCGACCAATTTTAAATTGTGCAAAACATGGAAATTTTTTAAGAAATTAAACACGGACTAGTCATACGTACGAAGTTTACATTAAATTAAGCATGAATTACGCGATCTCGTTTTTTTTCAAAAATGGACTTTCACCACTTTCGAAATAAACGGTCCGTATCATTCCAGGAAGTCTTCTATTTGACCTTGAAGTAATCTTCACCCCCGTTTCGCGTATCGATAATCGACCGTTCTAACTCATCGAACATCGTGCTATCACTGTAACAACAAGGTCGCACCTGTATCGGCGGACACCAAAGGGTGGCGGAGGGATGGAGAAGGAGGAGGGGGCGGGGGGAGAGGGGTTTGATCGCTTATATGGGAGGAAAGAAGAGTTCTCGCGGATCGTTCCTAGGAAACGACGGATCCTACCCGTAGACCAGATGATTTTTGCGCTAGTATATACGACGGGTGTGCAGCATTCCCGGCGCGTACACCATCGTCCGCTATCGTTCTACCTTATTTTCTCCACTTTGTCTTTTTCTCGCGTTTCCGTTTCTGTCATTGGCTGCCTTGCGAGCCGGGTCGAGCGTTCGTCACCGGCGCGACCGGTCGACGATACCGCGTACCGAGCAACGAGGATAAACTCCTCGCGGACGGGAAAAGAACTCCGCCGACTCGGAAACTCGCGATCTTTCCTTCCCGGCGATGTCCATGTATAGTTATTCACGCCCATGTACGGTTCCTCGTTATGTCGATCGTCGTGTGAATCCCTGGGATCACGCTTTAACCGGCGAAATATGAATCCTCGCTCGACGTCGATGCCGTTGGACCGAACGGGGTTGTGGGGTTGAAAACGCGGCGATTAACCGGTTCAAGAAAGCGATTTTTAAAATTTAACGCATCTATCGTCGCGTCAGCCGGAAATGGATGACAGGTTTTTTCTTGAAGGAAATACAGACGTTAATTGCCAAGGTGAGACGATAATGAAAATAAATTTGAATAGACAAGTTTTTTCTTGCGTAAAACTTGTGGGTATTTTGTTTTCAGTTTGGAAATTATGCAACCAGTCGGAAAGAAATTGCACTATTAAATTGATGACCATAGGAAATGGAACGATAGTAGATTTTATGAATTTTTTAAA